AGCTTCATGAAATTGGATGGTGCGACGATGTTGATCAGCATACCGGATCATAGGTTCTTGTGCTTTCAGCAAGGATGCTCGAGCTGCTGCAATAACCATCTCGCGAGTGGAAAGGAAGGAAGCTGCTGCTTGAGTGTCACGAGTGCGGACAAGGGAGGCTGGTGTGCGAGGTTGCTGTCCTGTGGCGAGGAAGAAAGGAGTTTGGCCGGTGGCAAGATTCACTGGACTGCCAGAATCTGCCAACAAATCGCGAGTCACGGTTACTGATTAGGACGCAAGGAATGCCATGAAGACGTACCACTTCCTTGAAGAAGAGATTCAGCAGTTGCATTAGTAGAGGTAGGAAGAAAGTGAGCCATCTTGCTGAGCTTGTCGACTACAGTAAGGATAGCGTTGTGATGGGAGGAGGTGCGAGGAAGATCGGTGATAAAGTCGAGTGTGACATGAGACCAGGGAATTTGAGGTATCTCGAAGGGGTGTAGCAAGCCGTAGGGTGTTGCGTTGCAAGCTTTGTTGCACTCACAAGTATGACAGATGCGTACAGAGGAGCGGACGTCATGAGAGAGCTTGGGCCAGAAGAATTTTGCTGAGATGGCTGTTAGCGTTTTGTCCACCCCAAAGTGTGCATTCTGGTCATGATGCTCGCGTAGCAGGAGGTGACCCAGCTTGCGGTCGGCTGGAACGCAGATGACTTGGGAATCTGCCTTATACTAGAAAGGGGATTCATAGTAGACAGATGAATCGTTAGCAGCAAGATTGAGATAGAAAGGGTCACGACGATACCCTTTGATGAACTTGCCGATTAAGCTTTCATCCCATGTAACGCTGCCGATGGTGGTGAGCTGAGATTGCGGAGGCCGGGTTAGAGAATCAGTAGGGTTGAGGCGGTCAGCGCGGTACTCGATTTTCAGCTCAGGTACGTACTGCTCCAAGTACTCCATCCACCGGGCCTGTCTAGGGGTGAGATGGGGTTGTGTCTTCAGGTATTGCAGGGTGCAGTGGTCAGTAAGAACAGTGACGGGTTGCATATGGACATAGCAACGCCACTTCTTGATTGCATGGACGATGGCCAGCGCCCCACGATCGTGAATAGCATAGTTGCACTCAGCAGGTTTGAGCTTCCGAGATTCAAAAGCAATAGGCTGGAGGCCATGTCCTTGATCTTGGCAAAGGATTGCACCCGTTGCAACCTGAGAGGCATTTGTCCATATCATATAAGGGAGGGAAGGGTTGGATTGGACTAGGGTAGGAGCTGAGGTTAGTGCACACTTGATAGAGTCAAAGGTTTTTTGCTGGTCCGAATCCCAATGGAATCCTTCATTCTTGCGGAGTAGATTGGATAGGGGGGAGGTGATAGCAGCAAAGTGGCAGATTAATTTGCGGCAATAGTTAGCAAGGCCAAGGAAGGCTTGTAATTCTTTCATAGAAGCTGGGAGTTTCAAGTCCTGAATGGCTTTGAGTTTGAGGGATCCATGGCAAGCTCGTTGTGTGAGATGACATGGCCCAAAAAAGGGATTGAGGACTTTGCAAACTCACACTTGCTGTGTTTAACGAAGAGGCGGTGCTCACGAAGTCGTGTGAACACCTGTCTTAGATGCTCAACATATTCTTTCAATGATTTGCTATAGATCAGAATGTCATCAATGAAGATTATGACAAACCGGTCCAAGAAATCACGAAAGACGTTGTGCATCAAGCACATGAATGTGGCAGGGGCATTTGTTAGTCCAAAAGGAAGAACTAGGAATTCGAAATGCCCATACCGAGTTCTGAATGCAGCTTTCTCGATGTCTTTGTCAGCGACACGAACTTGATGATATCCGCTTCGGAGATCCAGCTTGCTAAAAATTGTGGCTTCGCCGAGTTGATCGAAGAGTTCTTCCACACGTGGCAGGGGGTAGCGGTTCTTGATGGTAATCTTGTTGAGTGCACGATAGTCGATGCACATCCACATTCTGCCATCCTTTTTCTTCACGAAGAGAATCGGTGTTGCACAAGGAGAGGAGCTGACTCGGATGAAGCCTTTCGCAAGAAGCTCTTCCGATTGTTTCTGGACTTCTTGCAGCTCGGTAGCACTCATCCGTTAGGTAGCACGGATGGTAGGTTCAGAGCCAGGGAGTAGAGTAAGGCGGGGATCGATAGCTCTCTTGGGAGGAAGACCAGAGGGAAGGTCTAAGGGGAAGATGTATTTGAAATCATCCAAGACCTGTTGAATTTCAGGAGGGATCTCAGCAGCCTTGGAAGGGGAAGAGAGAGAAGGTCGTTCACAGGGTTACAGCAGGTATGGAAGGAGAGGAAGAAAAGGGTAGGTAAGGTTATGTCTATCCAGAGTTAGAGATGGTAACAGTTCCAAGGGTCCAATCAATCTTGGGATTAGCAATAGACAGCCAATCACACCCAATAATGATTTCATGGTCTCCTAGGGATGCTTGCTGAAATTGAATCTTGGTTTTGTAGGGTCCGATGGTACAAGGGACAGGGGAAGATAATGGTCCACAAGGAATTGAAGTTCCATTTGCCATCAACAGTGTCTGAGGTAGGGATTTAGGTTGGGTTGGAAGGGAAAGCTTGGAAAGTAGAGAGGAAGATATAAAATTTGAAGAAGCGGCACTGTCAATTAAGGCTTTCACTCTTTGACCTCGGATAGTCATGGGAAGAAGCAGAGGTTTAGAAGGGCTATGACTTTCAAGCGAAGAGATGGAGGGGCTGATTTTGTTACCAGGAAGTTGCCCCGAACTCACTGGCGACTTCCGTTTCCCGGCGTTGGAAGAAGAGGCGGTTGATTGGTGCGCCCGCGGCAGAACTTCTAGATGTGTCCTTTCTTGCCGCACTTGAAGCACACGACTGGTGGCCTCATGTTCCGCTTTCTTTTTTCCATCAGGTCCAGGTCCATAGGAGCGGGTTCTTGCTGGTTGTTGTCTGCTGAAGGGAAGGACTGGTAGGAGGGAGCAAACGGGAGAAGCGGGCTGCGAGGAAAATGAAGCTTACTGTAGGCAAAGTGAACATCATCATACCGTTCAGCCATGAGTATCATTTCCTCGAGCGTAGTGCAGTCTCTCAGCTCCACCTCCATGCGCACGTTTAGCTTCAATCCACGTTTGAAGCGATCCATTCATTCGGCAAGGGAGAGATCGGGAATTTCTTGACTGATGTCACGGAAGCGAGAAGCGTACTCTTGGACAGATTTCAGTTGCTTGAGGGCAGCCAAGGAGTCTCGTGCCATGATGTTCGGAGGACTATTTACTCACGACTACAAAATCGACCCATTCTTCCGCTCCGCCATTCACAAACAGCATACTACAGCAACTGGATATTACTTCACTAAGCGCGACACTTCCCGCATCTGGGTTCCCGGCTACGATTTACTTCGTACCCTCTTAATTCAGGTTTCCCACGACAACCCAAGCTCTGCGCATTTCAGAGTTGACAAAACCATGAAGACATTGCAGCGCAATTATTACTGGCCGAACATGGCCGACGACGTGCGCAAGTACGTGCTCTCCTGCACCGCTTGCCAAATCATGAAGTCATCCTATCAGCGCGCATTCGGACTCTTACAGCCGTTGGATCAGCCCGAGCGACCCTGGCAACACGTCACGATGGACTACGTGACAGGACTGCCGGCTGGTTTAGACGAAAACAACGCAATCCTCGTGGTCGTTGACCGACTCACAAAAATGGCGCACTTCATCGCCTGCCAACAGAAAATGACAGCTGAGCAAACTGCCCAACTGTTCATCGCCAATGTCATCAGACTGCACGGACTACCCACCGCCATTATTTCAGGCCGAGACTCGAAATTCACATCGAATTTTTGGCGCCACCTGTGGGACTAGTTCGGCACCAAACTACAGTCTTCCTCTGCCTACTACCCACAGAGCGACGGGCCGACTGAATGAGTCAACCAAAGTATGGAGCAACTCATTCATACTACCTGTACTGACCCACAGACCTGGGAGAAATCCCTCCCGCTATTGAAATTCGCGTATAATAACGCGCATTCCGCAACAACCCATCAATCCCCATTTTTCCTGGGAGAAATCCCTCCCGCTATTGAAATTCGCGTATAATAACGCGCATTCCGCAACAACCCATCGATCCCCATTTTTCCTAAATTACGGACAAGGCCCTGTGGTACCCTCTACACCCAACATCGAGACTCACGTGCCCCGGTCCCAACGATTTGCCGAAGATATCCTAGCAGCCCGAAAGAAAGCAGCTAAGGCAATTCAAAAGGCCAACCTGGTCGCAAACCGATAAGCCGATCGCCACCGACGTGACATCAGCTACAAAGAACTAACAACTGAACCGCTGAAGATTCTCGATTACCGCGTTACCACGCAGCTGAACCGTCGGATGGTGGATTTTATAATCCGTTGGCGTAATTGGACGTCTGAGGATGACAGTTGGGTGCCCCTCGCTGATGTAGATTCTAACCGTGTATTATCAGCGTCGGAATGTTTCCGATGCCCACGGCCTCGTTTAGGAGGGGGGGTAGTGTAAGGAATTTCCATTCCTTACTGAGTCGTACGCTAGCGCGTACACCCGAACTCCTCGTCTCGTCACGTTCAGCCTCATTTGTCGGCGTTGTATATAGCGACCTTGTATTCTCACGTTATTATTCATTGACACTCTTATATCATAACGCACCGCGACAACATCGGGGCGCCACGTCTGCAAAGATTCCCTCTGTTTCACAAAAGGCCTGGCCCTGACAACGAAAAGCGCAAAGCTCTCCTGGAGCAGCCCACCTTGGGATCTTACAGAGCACGTCAGCAGGCGGCCTCTTGTGGCATCACCGCTCAGCCAGTCAGAGAGCTCGTCGTGTCCTCTCCCCTTCCAGCGCACCTCCCGCCTGGGCAAACCACACCACACCCTTTCCTTCCCGCCGCCTAACTTGGCCCGCCTTCCCTCGTTATTGTCATCAAGCCTCGTCACGTCTTTCTCCTCTGCCGCTGTGTGTCATCTCCCTCCTGCCATTCCTTTTCCTCTCTCGCTAAGAGCTCTAATGCTGGCCTAACGACGATCGTTGGTGACGTCAGGCCGTAGCACCTGAAGCCTCCGCTTCGCTTTTGGAGATACTTTTAGGTCTGTTGTAAAGCTTGTGTGTAGCTGGACTTCTCGTGTGGTGGGTGTAGTGCGGTGTTTCTGGGTTCGTCGTTGGATCATCAGTCATATCTTAGACTAGTTACGCGGTATGCGTCGTCGGCGTAATCTCAGTTTTTTAGAATGTCGAGTTGACCTAGCCTCGATCTACGGCGAAACCCATCAATGAATGCAAGCGAGCGCGCTTAGTGGTAACAGCACGCGTGATACACTCCTATCGTGATTGGTTCTGCGGGTCGCCACCATGCTCCTTCGGCCAAGCTGCAGACGACCGTACCGAGTAGTCCCTTCAGAGTCCCTTTCAGTATCCGGAGAATCTTCAACTCAGAGAAGCAATAAAGGTAGCAATCGGATTCCCGGTGGATCCCTAGCATCGAGCACGGTCGCCATTCGCACAGCCAATTCATGTCTCCAGTATCCCCTTTATAAGCCTCGATCCGCGAGATCGCACCATTCGAGTTGTAGTAGTCGACAAGGCAGTGTTTTTCCCCCGGTGACTCGCCTCCCTGATCGAGGGCCACCGAACGCACAGAGATGCAAGGGTTTGTTCCAGCCTGCGGTGACGAGCCTAGAGGCTCGACGGCCGTGTTTGGGTCATGCCTGGCGTCGATCGGGGGGAATTGGTGGCCACGCGTCGACGTCTCAATCCCTGGGCTCAAAGCACGGAGAAACGGCGTCTGACAGCCACGAGGGAACGACACTTAGAGATAGCAGCAGCAGCATCAGCGGCAGCAGCATCAGCGACAGCAGCAGCGGCAGCGGCATGAACAGCGATCGGGCTACAGCTAGACTGAAGCTCGAGGGATCGGCTCCTACTGAAGCACCAGGTGGGACTGTGCCTTGGGGGGTCATTGCAAGGCGAGTGGCGATCCTTGTCGTTTCCGCCGCCGTGTGCCTGACAGCCGTTCTAGCCTGCCGGCCAGTCCTAGCAGCAGAGTCAGCCTCGGCATCGGCCTCGCCGATCCTCCCAGCCTCGGCCGGAGCTCTGGTGTCGAACCTGGCGCAGCGGGCGCGGGTATGGGGAGTGGGCGCGAAGCCGTCGTTCGTCCAGCTGCTGAAGGTGCTGAGGGAGCAGGGCGTGCTGCTGGCGGTGCTGCTGGGGCTGTCGGCGTTCTTCTCCATGGCGGAAACCTCCATCACCACGCTATGGCCGTGGAAGGTGAGAGTTAGGAGGGGCGTTGAAGGTGAGAGGTCTGACACGTCAAGAGTTAGTTGCGTGCATGCTGCAGGCGGTCCATCGCCACGCTATGTCCGTGGAAGGTGAGAGACGGGAGGGGTGGATGATGTTGCTGCTGGTGCTGGTGGCATGCGGCCTGATGTCGGATCTATCCGGGGGATGCAGATCTTTGAGTCGACTGAAAAGGTGATCTTTGAGTCGACTAAAACATCACCTGCAGCTGCAGGTGCTGGTGGCATGTGGCCTAATGCCGGATCTACTCGTTGGATGCAGATCCACTCGCCACTGGCATGGCCTGAAGATGGTCTCTGTAACCGCCCCTAACTGCCTTGTTCTTCAGACCCGTGTGCTCTCCGTTGCTCCTCATCCCGCATGTAGGTGCGCGGGTTGGCCGCGAGGGAGAGCAAGGGACCACATGCCCCGTCTCAAAGCATGCCTCCGAGTTTAACCGCCCCTCGTGCTCTCGCTGTAATTTCCCCTCGCGCCATGTTGTGGTTGCGCGAGCTGGCGGAGAGGGAAAAGGAGGGCAGCGTGTTCCAGCTGCTGCGGCGAGGCATCTGCACCACGGCACTCACTGGCGCCGTGCAGCCATTCCCGGCTGCAAGCAATCCCTTTCCATTTGTGTCCAACCTTCCCTTTTGGCGTCTGTCAGGTGCGCGAGCTGGCAGAGCAGGAGAAGGAGGGCAGCGTGTTCCAGCTGCTGCGGAGGGACGTCACTCGCTTCCTCACCACCATCCTCATCGGCACCACGTAATGCCCTCGTGTTTGCCCCTCATGCCTCTCTCTGCTTTCCTCACCACCATCCTCATTGGCACCTCGAAACGCTCTCTTCCGCCCCTCAGGCCTCTCGTCTGCTTTCCTCATCCTTATCGGCACCATGTAACGTTTCTGGTTACCACTCCCGTGCTTTTCCCAGTTTCGTTGTCCTGATGCCAGTCATTCCTCTCTCAGTGTCACCACGTATCTCTCTCTCCCTTTCACCTCTCGTACCTCTTCTCACGATCTCTTTCACCCCCTCGCCCCACACTCTTGCTGCTTCCCCATTCCCACCTTGACAGGCTGGTGACTATCTGGGCCACGGCTCTGGTCACAGATGCTTCTCGGTTCTCACTCTCTTCCTCTCCCTGCTGCTCATGTTTGCTAGCCCCGCTTTCTCCCCCGTCCCCTCTCCCCCGCGCCAGGCTGGTGAACATCTGGGCGACGGCCCTGGTCACAGACGCCGCTACAGCCCTCTTTGGGGAGGCAGGAGTCAGCGCCGCTACAGGCGTGATGACGGTACGTGCTTTGCTGCTACAGGCGTGATGCTTCTGCGTTCGCTGACCTACGTTTGTCTACTCCTTGGCTTCAAAGCCACCCATCCCTTCGTGCTTCCCTCTCTACTCGTGCACCCACCCTTCGAATCTCGAATCCTGTAATTTTGCACCCCCCTTCCCACCTTGCCCCTACATCCCACCAGATCCTTCTTCCCGTCTTCACTGGGATCCTGCCCAAGTCAATCCCAGTGCACGACGCCACCCCTGGTTTCTCGCCTCTCTTGCATCCCTACTGCCCCCCCGTCTGCCCCCCCGTCTGCCCCCCCGTCTGCCCCCCGTCTGCCCCCCGTCTGCCCCCCCGTCTGCCCCCCCCGCCATCCACCAGATCCTCCTCCTCGTCTTCACTGAGATCGCCCCCAAGTCCATCGCAGTGCACAACGCCACCCAAGTCGTCCGTGTCGTGGTATGCACCTCCCCAGGGGCCCCTTCTCCCCTCCGCTCCCCGCCCTCCCCCCTCTCCTCTCCGCTCCCCGCCCTCCCCCTTCTCCCCTCCGCTCCCCCGCCCTCCCCCTCTCCTCTCTACTCCCCCCCCTGTTTCTCCCTTTCCATCTCCGCTTTTGAATCGACTCAAAAGCAGACCTGTTTCCCCCCCTGTTTCCCCCCCTGTTTCCCCCCCTGTTTCCCCCCCTGTTTCCCCCCCTGTTTCCCCCTTTCCATCTCCGTCAATCCGCCTCTCGCGCCTCTCTCACTCCCCTCCATCTCTCTTCCCCTCTTGAGACCCCTTGAACGCTTGTTCTCCCCCTCCCTGCCATTTCTCTTCGCCTCCTTTCCCTCCCCACCAGCTGCGCCCAGTGGCGTGGCTGTCAGTGGTGCTGTATCCCGTGGGTCGCCTCTGCACCTATGCCTCAACGGGCCTCTTCCGCCTGCTCGGGCTCAAGACCAGCGGGTCAGTCCTTGCGCCTCTTCTCTCTCGTTGCAATTCTTCCTGCCCCGAATTCTCTCTCAAGTCCATCAAGTCAGCTTCCTGTCCCTCTTACATCACCATACTCCCGCCATTGTGACAATTACCGTGTTTTGCGAGCAGGCGGGGGTGAATGGTTGTCGTGTTCTCAAAACAAGATTTTGGTCAGCTTCCTGCCCCTTGTTCAATACCCTCCACCCGCCGCTCACGCCCACCCCTTCTCCATCGTCCCTGGCCTTGACAGCAGCCAGCTCTCTGCCCCGGCCTGGTCTCAATCCAGGTGACTTTTGAGTCGACTCAAAAGCCACCTCAAGATCATCAAGTCATTTTCCTGCCCCTCGTTCAAGGCCATGCCATCCCCCCGCCCGTCGTTCCTCATTCAATACCATCCACCCGCCCCTCGCGCCCACCCCTTCTCCATCCCCCCTGGGCTTGACAGCAGCCAGCTCTCCGTGCCGCCCTGGTCTCTGTCGCTGCACCTCTGTGCGTGTGTATACACATCCTGTTTGGCTTTGCCAATCACCCTCATCTCTCCCCTACCTGCCAGGGAGCCGTTTGTGACGGAGGAGGAGCCGAAGCTCGTGCTGAGGGGATGTGCGTCTGAGGCGTCTCACCTCCCTCTGTGCCCTTGTCTGATTCCTGCCCCTCTCTCTGTGTGTGTTGTGTTGTACCAACACCTGTGTCTGCCAGGGAGCCGTTTGTGACGGAGGAGGAGCTAAAGCTCATGCTGAGGGGGGCGGAGATGAGCGGCGCTATCGAGGAGGAGGAGCAGGTGAGCAGGGCTGCGGGGCAGTGCCGGAACAGGTTAGAGCCGCTCTGAGAAGCTCCTGAAGCTCATGCTGAGAGGGGCAGAGATGAGTGGCGCTATAGAGGAGGAGGAGCAGGTGAGAAGGGCGGGGGGGATGGGGGAAACGAGGGTCAAATGAGGGGGGTAAGGTCAGGAGCGAGGACCCGAAGAAGGAAACGAGTAGCGCAATCAGAGCAGCTGTAAACGCTGTAAATGGTTGTAGAATGCTGTGCTCGGACTCCTTTTCGGGGAAGGTGCATTCTTCCCTTCACCCCTTGTGGGTGCGGCACCAGAACTCAGTGTGCCAATGTGAAAATAAAGCGGACCACCCCTCTATCCTCTTTTTCTTTCCCTCCCCCCCACCACCCCCCCCCCCCTGCTGTGACCAGGACATGATCGAGAACGTGCTGGAGATCAAGGACACGTATGTGCGGGAGGTGATGACTCCTCTGGTAGATGTTGTTGCAGTCGACTCCACAGCCTCGCTCATGGAGCTGCGCGCCCTGTGGGTGCGGCACCAGTACTCGCGCGTGCCCGTGTACGAGCGGCGCGTGGACAACATAGTGGGCATCGCGTATGCCATGGACATGCTGGACTATGTGGAGCAGGTGGGTGTTGCATGTGTGTGTGTGTGTGTGTGTGTGTGCGTGCGTGCGTGCGTGCGTGCGTGCGTGCGTGTGTGTGTGTGTGTGTATGTGTGTGTATATGGGGATCCGTGTATGAGTGCATGTATGAGGGCACCGACCTGTGTCTGTGAGAGGCGCATGGACAACATAGCCCACGTTTGCATGCACATTTCGACTATGTGGGGCAGGTGAGATGTGGGACAGGTGGGGCGTATGTGGGGCAGGTGGGATGCGGGGCAGGTGAGGTGTGGGGCACTTCCTGTCGCTCATATTTCGTGCTCCCTACATTTCACCATCTCTTGCTGCCACTGCTATACGCACACCTTACTCTCCTCTACCCTCTACCCCCTGTCTCCTCTCCTCCTCCACCCGGTCTGACTGGCCCCCTATCACTGTCACTGCCAGCCGGAGCTGCTACATCGCTTGAGTGTAGGCAGGATTGCGCACCGGCCGGCATACTTTGTCCCTGGTAAGAGCTTGCCTAAGCCCAGTCGTCCTTGCCACTTGTCCCTCCCTCGTCTTCCGTCTATTTGCATTTCTTTAGTCTCCTCGCTCGTACCTCCCATCCTCGTCCTCAGCATGCAAGCCTGAGAGAAGGCATCACGATTTTGCTGTCTGCAGCCTGCGCAGACCGTTGGTCAGCCTGACAGGGGCGCGACACCGGCTGTGGAAACCTCAACTCCTCTGCCTCTCTTCCTCCCCCCCCCCACCCTATGTGTGTGTCTTGGGTTGGCTGGCAGATTCCATGTCGGTGTGGAACCTTCTGAGAGAATTCCGGATCCGTAAAGTGCACATGGCCATCGTGCTCAATGAATACGGTGGCACCGTGGGGGTGAGTTGCTCTCTCCTCTTTCAATCCCCCTCAAATCTCTACCCCATGCGCCCCACGCCCCACGCCCCATGCCCCATGCACCTTGCTCCCATGCCCCATGCCTCATGCCCCATGCCTCATGTCCCATGCTCCATGCCCCTTGCCCCATCCCCCTCCCTTTCCTCCCACCAGCTGGTGACGCTGGAGGAGATAGTGGAGGACTTGGATGGGCTTGGATGGGAATTGGATGGGCTTTGGATGGCCTTTGGATGGCCTTTGGATGGCCTTTGGACGGGCTTAAGATTGGCTTTGAATGGGCTTTGGATGTGGGCTTGGATGGGCTTGGATGGGCTTTGGATGTGGGCTTGGATGGGCTTGGATGGGCTTTGGATGGGCTTGGATGGGCTTTGGATGGGCTTGGATGGGCTTGGATGGGCTTTGGATGGGTTTTGGATGGGCTTTGGATGGGCTTGGTTTGGCTTGGATGGGCTTTGAATGGGCTTTGGATGGGCCTTGGATGGGTGTTGGATGGGCCTTGGATGGGCCTTGGATGGGCCTTGGATGGGCTTGGATGGTCTTGGATGGGCTTGGATGCGCTTGGATGGGCTTGGATGGGGCGACTGACTTTAGCACTGCATTCCATCTCGTGAGCCCCCATGTCCCATCTCACCTGGCGGTCGATCCACCTGGTGGATGGCGACCAGCGGCATTCTACTTCCTTGAGCCCCCATGTCCCGATTCTTCCCCTTCGCTCCCGCTCCCTCATGAAGCAGCTGGTGACGCTGGAGGATGTGGTGGAGGAGATAGTGGGGTAGACTGAGGGGTTGTTTAAGTGACTGACTCTGGTGCCGCATTCTGTGCCTTGTGCCCGCATACCCCATGTCCTCCCACCAGCTGGTGACGCTGGAGGATGCGGTGGAGGAGATAGTGGGGGAGATATTCGACGAGAACGACTCCAAGGAGGAGATCCGCCGCAAGACAGGGTACATCATCCAGCGCGCGGAGGGCGTGTATGACGTCGACGCCAACACCACTGTGGACGACCTCGCTGACATTCTCCAAATCGTGCTCCCTCCGGTGAGTCGTTGCCTCCGGTTAGTCGCTCTCTTTGTTGGTGAAAAGAGCTCTTTTCCCGGAGGAGGTGACTTTTGAGTCGACTCAAAAGTCACCTCCCTCCGGTGAGTCGTTGCCTCCGGTTAGTCGCTCTCCTTGTTGGTGCAGCTCTTTTCCCGGAGGAGCCTCATCGAGACGACATGAGACGGGGTACATCATCCAGCGCGCAGACGGCATGTACGACGTCGTATGTTTCGTTCGTATGTAAGGGCGTTCGTATGTTAGTTCGTTCGTATGTTAGGGCGTTCGTATGTTAGCGAGTTCGTATGTTAGGGCGTTCATATGTTAGGGGTTTCGTATGTTAGTTCGTTCAAATGTAAGGGCGTTCGTATGTTAGTTCGTTCAAATGTAAGGGCGTTCGTATGTTAGTTCGTTCTTATGTTAGCGCGTTCGTATGTTAGGGCGTTCGCATGTTAGGGCGTTCGTATGTTAGTTCGTTCGTATGTAAGGGCGTTTGTATGTTGGGGCGTTTGCATGTTTGGTGATTCGTCTGTTAGGGCGTTTGTCTGTTTGGGGTTTCGTATGATTGGGCGTTCGTATGTTTGGTGTTTGACACCATGCAATGTGGCACTGTGTCCTGTGTCGCCTCACCCTCTTCTTTCCAGCGCGCATCCTCTCCTCTCCTCTCGAGGCAGTCTCTGGTTTTGTGTTCGAGGCGTTTGTCTACATTCCCAGATTTGGCAACACAAGAGGTGTATCTGTTCCTCTCGCCACCGCCCCTCGAATCTCCCGTTACCCTCTCCCCTTGGCGCTCCCTCCTTCCAGCGCGCATCCTTCTACGAGACGGTGTCTGGCTTTGTGTGCGAGGCGTTTGGGTACATCCCCCGCACGGGCGACACCAAGATCATTCGGCTGCAGCGGAAGGAGAGCGAGGAGGAGGAGGAGGGCAAGGGTGCGGAGGAGGGGGGGGCAGGCGGGAAGGGCGGGAAGGGCCGGGAGAGGGACGGAGGAGACAAGGGGACGCGGAGGCAGCTGCTGCGATTCCAGCTGGAGGTGAGTTGGCAGTTGGGGTTGATTCCGTTTTTGTGAATTCTTATAAACGAGCAGCAGCTAGGAGGTGGGGGCGGATGGGAAGGGAGGGAATGGCTGGGAGAGGGACGGGGGAAGACAAGGGACGCAGAGGCAGCTGCTGCGATTCCAGCTGGAGGTGTGTCAGCAGCTTGAGATGAGTCAGCAGCTTGAGATGAGTCAGCAGCTTGAGATGAGTCAGCAGCTTGAGATGAGTCAGCAGCTTGTGGTGAGTCAGCAGCTGGTGGCATGACAGCTGCAAGTGCATGGATGTTCCTCTTTCCGCTTCTTGCTTCTTCTGAGTAAACTCAAACCACAGCCGTTTCTGCCCCTTACAATCGTGATCACCTCATGAGGCATCTTTACATTCCTCCTCCTCCTTCCCCTCTTCCTCTCCCGTGTGCGGCAGATTTTGTCCGGTAATGCAAGGAAGGTGGTGGCAGTTAGATTCGAGGAGCTGAAAGAGACGGAAGGGGCCAGAGGGGGCGGCGTGAAGGGGAAGCTAGGGGCGGCGAAGGAGGAGGAGGATATAGAGAAGGAGACAGAGAGGAAGAGGGAGAAGGACAGGGAGAGAGCGTTGGTGGAGGAGTGGGAGAGTGAGAAGAGGAGGGAGGGGAGGAGGAAAGAGAGACTTAGTCAGGAGGTGCGGTCAAGAGCGTTGGTTGAGGTGGGGAAGGGGGAGGGAGAGGGGGAGAGCAAGTGTGACACATGTGGTGAGAACGAGGTGCGCAAGGGAAGACTGGGGGGGAGGGGGGTGCTTCTGGATAGTGAGAGTGAGGGGGAGGATGGGGAGGTGCTGGTTGGGGGAGGGTGGCTGACGGCTGGGGATGGGGAGGATGGGGTGTACACTGAGGGTGTGTACACAGACATAGACATGGGGGAGAGGGAGAGTGAGAGGGAGAGGAAGAGTGAGAAAGGGAGTGAGTTGGTGCGTGCGTTTGATGGTGATGGGAGAGAGGGGTCTGTGGGAGAGGAGGAGGAGGATTCAGATGCAGAGGAGTCAGAAGGGGAAGGGGAAGGGACGAGGAAAGGGGAATCGAGGGACGTCCTTGAGTTGCAAGGCACAGCGAAGTACCAGCAGCAGCACGAGCAGCAGCAGCACGAGCAGCAGCAGCACGAGCAGCAGCAGCACGAGCAGCAGCAGCACGAGCAGCAGCAGCACGAGCAGCAGCAGCACGAGCAGCAGCAGCACGAGCAGCAGCAGCACGAGCAGCAGCAGCACGAGCAGCAGCAGCACGAGCAGCAGCAGCACGAGCAGCAGCAGCACGAGCAGCAGCAGCACGAGCAGCAGCAGCACGAGCAGCAGCAGACAACAGCAGAAGAGGGCGAGGAGCCAGGGGCGCTTGTGAGAGATACAGCAGGGGATGGGAGTGGCAAGAGCACCATGGGAAGCATGGGGGGAGATAGGGGCGCAGTGGTGGGGAGCAAGAATGGCAGCAGCCTAGTGCGGGGGGAAGGATGGAAGGAGGAGAGTGAAGAGTGGAGGGCGGAGGCTAACAAGTGGAGGGAGGAGGCGGTGGCATGGCGGGAGGAAGAAGACTCGGACTACAGCTCAGGCTCGGACGGCCGCGTGGGGCTCGAGGGGGGAGTGGTTGGGCCGCGGGGCGTGGGGGCGGTGCAAGGTGTGGGGGGGACGCCGGGAGGAGGGGGGAGTGTGCGGGAGTTTGAGGGCGTGGCCATGGCGCAGGAGCAGTATGAGCGGTGGGAGGAGAAGGAGAAGCAGGTGAGACTTGGGGGTGCTGCAGGGTTGTGATGGGTGCTGCTGGTGGCTGAAGTTAGCTGTGAGGGCGTTTGAGGGCGTGGGGGGGACGCAGGTAGGAGGGGGGAGTGTGAGGGAATTTGAGGGAGTAGCCATGGCTCGGGAGCAGGACGAGCAGTGGGAGGAGAAGGAGAAGCAGTTGAGAGTGGGAAAGCGGAGTAACAGGGCTTCTGCAGGGGACTGCTGGAACCTCTGGTGGCTGGTCATTGTCCTCGATGTGTGCTCTGTGCTCTCTCTGCTCCCCCTCCTCTCGATTCGTCTTGTCACGTTCTTTCCCTGGTCGCATGGTGCATTCCTGCGCTGCCATGTGCCATGTGCTATGTGCCATGTGCCATGTGCCATGTGCTACATGCTATGTGCCATGTGCCATGTGCCATGTGCCATGTGCCATGTGCCATGTGCCATGTGCCACATGCCACGTGCCACGCGCCACGTGCCATGTGCCACGTGCCACGTGCCATGTGCCACGTGCCATGTGCCACGTGCCATGTGCCATGTGCCATGTGCCACGTGCTATGTGCCACGTGCCACGTGCTATGTGCCACGTGCCATGTGCTATGTGCCATGTGCCATGTGCCATGTGCCCCGTTCCCTGGGTGCCTGTGCTGTGTGTTGGACACGTGGAAAGGAGGACGGAGAGGAGCGAGTCCCAGGCGCACATGGGGAGGCGTGCTCTTTGATTTCACCTCGTCACGTTCGTTCCCTGGAGTCTATTTTTGAGGCGCCTCAAAAATAGACTCCTCACGCGTGCTCGTTGATTTCACCTCATCACGTTCGTTCCCTGGCCGCATGGTGCCTTCCTGCCCGTGCCATGCGCCCTGTGCCTCGTGCCATGTGTTCAACAGGTGGAGAGGAGGAGGCAGAGGAGGAGGAGGGAGAGGAGCGAGGCTCAGGCAGAGTTGAGGCGACATGCGCTGGGCACAGGGGGTGGTGGAGGAGATGCGGCCAGCCCCCTCTCCCTGCATGCTGAACCGCTCAGACTCAGGCTCAGCCGACCAGATGTGATGTCAGAGAGCGAGAGGGAGTGAGGGGGAGTGAGGGGAGTGGGAAGGGAAAGGAGAGAGTGCCTGGCAAGTACTGGGAACAGGCAGCAGCAGCAGCAGCAGCCCTCTCTCCCTGCATGATGAACCGGCTCAGACTCTAGCTCATCCAACCAGACGTGTGGTAATGGGGATTGAGAGGGGCTGATGAAGAGCCAAGGAGTGTGGTAACCATGTTGTAGCACAGTATCAGCGGTGTTGAGCACGGGCCTTCCGAATGCAGAAAGCTGTGTTTAAACAAAGATACCATAGTACAGATACGATATTGTAGAAAAGGAAATGGTGGTTGAACACCTTCCTAGATATAGTTGTATTCCCATATTGAGGAAGGTGCGCATAAGTACGTGAGCATAAGCATTTGTACGTGCGAACTGCGATACGTCGACCATCGCGTGTACACACCACTGCATCAATTCAGAATGTTACCTTAGCGCGTATGCACGGGGGCCTCGAATGGCCCTCAAATTTCCCGCCTTGCGCATTCCGCACGCGCGCGCTCACTAACTTCCTATTCTCGACTATTTGCGCCCCTCGCGTGTTATTCCCCTCGCTCTCCTCCACACTCCTCATGCGCCCTCGATATCCGCTCACGGCTCTGCGTCGGGTCTTATCGCCCCTGTCGCCCCTGTCGCCCTCAACTGCCGCCACACGCGCACCACCGCTCATCGCGCCGTATCCCGCGCTCCCCTCATCTGCCGCGCGCGCATCCCCCTTGGCTCAATCGTCCGCGCGATCGCTTGCCGCAACTGGCGCTGATTTAGGGACTGGCACCGCTGCAGCAAGCGGGGCGGCTTGTATCGAGGAATCTCGAGAATCCCGTTCTCGTGGTCAACGAGGGGAGGGGCGGATTCGAGGGAAGCGGACACGAGGAGAAATCGAGGGGTATCGAGGAGAGCGCGGACGAGGTTGGAGCACACGAGGATGGACGGTGGCGATTGAGGGCAACATTGGCGTGGGAAAATCGACGGCCCTGCGCGCTCTGAGCGAGCGACTCAACGGGTGAGAGCGCCTGTATGCCCAACGGGTGGTCAGCGCAGAGTCACCACAGAAGCACCGTGTTTCGCAGGCAGCACAGCTCCGTCGCAGGCAGCACAGCTCCATCGCAGGCAGCACAGCTCCGTCGTGGGCAGCATAGCTCCGTCGTGGGCAGCACAGCTCCGTCGTGGGCAGCACAGCGCCCTGTGCCACAGGCACAAGTGGCGTGGGTTATCCACAGTACTACTCACATATACTTGGCGTCTCTTGAGTCGACTCAAAAGTACTCTCACATAATTGGCGTCTCTGCGCTAACCACCCGTTGGGCATACAGGAACCCGCTCTGCCCAGAGGCTGATCCACACTACTCACTCATACCTCCTCCAGTCAGCCCAACGACCGACCGTTCCGCCCTCCCTCCCCTCCCCCCCATCTCTCCCCCTTTCCCTCCTCCCCCTTTTCCGGAAACACCCCCTTCAGTGACGTGGCATTGCGGAGGGACATCACTGGTGGCGCTGACGTGGCGCTGCTGGCCGAACCACTTCGTGAGTGGCGCAACGTGCGGGGGAGCGGGGCGAATGCGCTGGAGGCGTTTTACAAGGAGCCGAAGAGGTGAGGAGGGGTGTGTGGAGTGGGGTGGGGACACGGCATGGCTGATGAGGGCACGGAGCACACGCCATCGGAGGGATGGGGGAGGAGGGATGGGGGAGGAGTCTATTTTTGAGGCGCCTCAAAAATAGACAAGGCATGGCTGATGAGGGCATGCAGCACACGTCAACGGAGGCGAGGTGGGAGGAGGGATGGGGGAGCGGGGCGAATGCGTGGGACACATTTTACAAGGAGCCAAAGAGGTGAGAGGCGTAGGATGGGGCGAACACACGAAACGGGTAGGATGGGGGCGCGGGGGATGGGATGGGGGAGTGGGGCGAATGCGCTGGAGGCGTTTTACAAGGAGCTCAAGAGGTATGTGGAGGCAGGTTGGGAGGCGTGAGAGGGGGGCTCGAGGAGAGTGGTCGTATGGGGCAGCGGGGAATGGGAGGGGGGGCGGGGAATGGGAGGGGGAGCAGGGAATGGGAGGGGGAGCGGGGAATGGGAGGGGGCGGGGAATGGGAGGGGGGTTGGGGAATGGCAAGGGGGGGCGGGGAATGGGAGGGGGAGCGGCACTCACTAGGTGCCAGCCACGATCACACACGCCATCCCCCTCCACTGCTCTGCCTTCTCCTCGCTCTCACCACTCCGCTTCCCTCCCCCAGGGTCGCCTACACCTCTCACAGTCTTGTCCTTATCACCCACGCCTCTTAGTACGCCCACTGCGCCTCTGCAATCACCCTGTCTTACGTGACCGCCTCGCATCTCTTCCTCTTCCCTTTCCTTCCCCCCTTCCTCTCCCCCTCCCTCCCCCCCTTCCTTCCCCCCTTTCTCTACCTCTTCCCCACCCCTTCTCCTCCCCCCTCCCAGGTTCGCCTGCACCTTGCAGAGCCTGCACCTTGCAGAGCCTGCACCTTGCAGAGCCTGCACGCCTTCGGTTTTCATCTCCCGCACCTCTCCCGCGCCTTGCAATACGCCAAAGGCGTGCAGCACCACCCCTCCGTGCTGCGCCTGTGCGAGCGCTCCGTGTTCTGCGACCGCCTCGTGTCTGTCCCTCTCACACCCCTCCGCTCCCACTTCCTCTTCCCTGGCCTCTGCCCCCTCCCAGGTTCGCCTACACCTTTCAGAGCCTTGTCTTCATTTCCCGCGCCTCTCAGTACAAACAGGGGGTGCATTCTCACCCCTCTGCGCTGCGCCTGTGCGAGCGCTCTGTCTTCTGCGACCGCCTCGTGTTTGCGCCTGCGTCGGTGGCGGCTGGGCTGTTCACACCGCTAGAAGAGGCGCTGTATGACTCGTGGTTCGACGCCCTACTGCCCATGATGCCTGCTGCTGTGAGTAGCCGGGGCTCAGTCGTCCCCTTCAGTGCTCTGTGTTGTGGAAGCACCTAGTGTTTGCACCGGCATCGGTGGCAGGTGGGCTGTTCACTCCCATGGAGGAGGCGCTCTACGACTTGTGGTTCGACTCTGTGGTGCCCATGCATGCATGCATGTATCGCATATGTGAGACTCATAGCTGGGGCGAGACCCCGCGAGCGCACTGGGGTAGCGTGTCACGGTGCGCTCCCGCTCACACTCGCTCACACTCGCTTGCACTCGCTCACACTCGCTCGCACTCGCTCGCACTCGCCTGCACTCGCTCACACTCGCTCATACTCCCTTACACTCCCTTACACTAGCACTAGGGTATCATCTGCTCTGACGCCCAACTCTTCCGCTCTCTGTGTCCTTTGCAACAGCCTGTCCTTTTCTCACTCCCCCCCATCAGGTGACTTTTGAGTCGACTCAACCGTCAGCTGCTCGAGCCTCTCTGCATCGCTACCAATGGCCTGTTCTTTCCTCACTCCCCCACCATCAGGTAGTACCCCGTGGTGCCTTCATCTACCTAATGGCGGACCCTTCTGTGTTTCTGCAGCAACCGTCTCTCGTCACATGCTATCCCCCCCTCCCCCCCCCATTGACCTGAAAGCAGACCCCTTCTTGTGCCTGCAGCAGCCGTTTCTCGTCACATGCTTACTTGCTTCTCCTCACTTTTTTCTCCTTAAAACCCCCCTCCCCCATCTTCCCCCTCCACTCCCTGTCAGGTACCCGACGACTTCCTCTACTTGAGGGCGGACCCCTCGGTGTGTCTGCAGCGTGTCTACAAGTGCTGATCCATCCCTCCCTGCAGATCCATCCCTCCCTGCTGATCCTCACTCCCTCCCCCTCCTCACCCCGCCTGTCCCCCACCCTCACATCAGACACCCGATGCCTTCATCTACTTGAGGGCGGACCCCGCCGTGTGCCTGCAGCGCCTGCAGCAAACGTCTCTTCCTTTCATCCTTGCTTACTGTCCTTCACCCTCTCTATCCCTCACCCTCTATGCTCCTCACTCTCTTTGCGCCTTACCCTCTCTGCTCCTCATCTCCCCCCTATCAGATACCCGATGCCTTCATCTACTTGAGGGCGGACCCTGCCGTGTGCCTGCAGCGCCTGCAGCAGCGGTGGGTGGGTCATCCCCTCTCTCCCTCCCTCCCTCCCGCTCCTGCGCCTCACTACTTGGTCTCACCCTCCCTCACTGTGCCTGTGTTTGTGCTCGTGCCGGTGCTGGTGCCGGTGCCAGTGCCGGTGCAGGTGCCGGTGCCGGTGCCCATGCCCATGCCCATGCCCGTGCCCGGGCCTGTGCCTGTGTCTGTGTCTGGCCCGGGCACGGGCATGGGCACGTGCACGGGCACGGGCACGGGCAGCGGCACTCGTGAAACACCAACTCTCCCCACCCACCCACTCACCCGCACCCATCTCCAATGTGCGTGTCTAGTTTTCTTTCCCTTCCCGTGCGTCAGCAGTCAATTTTTAGGCACCTCAAAAATAGACTCTCCCACCCACCCACACACCCACCCACGCACTCACCCACACGCATCTCCAATGTGTGTGTCTAGTGTTGCTTCCCTTCCCCACCCGCTAATGCCCTCGTGCCACTATCTCCTCTCGCGCTTTTCTGATCCCCCTGGCCATACACCTCTCACTGCGCAGGTCTCGCTCCGAAGAGACCTCTGTTGACCTACCATATCTGCAGCGCCTGCATGAGCTGTACGACCACTGGTTCCTGGAAGGTTCTCGCAGGACAGATCTGGATCTCGTGGCAGGTGAGTACGGGGGCTGGCGTGGCGGTGGTTCTGTCGGCACATCTCCCACCGGCCTGACCTCTCTACCTCATGCATGGGGTGAGAGCCAGGCGCACCAGGTGAGGTGCCCTTTGTGCACATCTCTACGATGCTGCTCCTGTTCTCCCCATATTCTCCCCATATCAGCCTCCCAGATAATTTTGGCCACCTGTGTCTCTGTGCTCTCTGCAGCTCCCTCCTTTACCGCCTCTTTGGACGGCGCTTTGACGCACAGGGCGGTGGATGGGGTCTCGCTGCTGGTGGTGGATTGCAACCAGCACAAAGAGCAGTGCAGTGTTCTGGAGGATTCAGAAAGCAGCGTGGGGGACGCTGGGCAAAGTTGGGAGAAAAGGGAAAACTTGGTTATGGGGATGGAAGCGTTGCAGGTGCAAAGGCCACAGGCATCTAGTTCTCGTGTTGAAGGGAGTGCTGTTGAGTGCGGATTGTTAGATGAATTTTTGCCCTTTTTGCAACGGTTTTGTGCACAAACGCGTGACAAATGATAGAGCTGGGTTCATTGTTTTTGTTGTGCGCAAGCTGTGCCACGAAAAATATTGCTCTTTATTGATGTGTGTGACTACTGTGTACATGCGGGGAGGCATGTATGCGAACATGCATGTGCTCGTAAGCATCTTTTGTTAACGTAGAAACGAATGATTACTAGAGGTGGAAACCTAGAACAAATACTAGTTGGTTGTACTCACTAGAAGCATACCTCAGTCTAGCCTATAACTTCTACATAGATAATATGTATAAGTTGACACACCCCCTAGGCTAGACAAGGGGTGAAACTAAACAAGAAGCAAACAGCTCAGGGCGGCACTACTAGTCCAACCACTGAGGCAGGGGTCTGGAGACCAGTCAGCAAGAATACAACCAAAACTGAAGCAAGCCAGGGTGGCACTACTAGTCCAGCCACTGGAGGTAAGGCCACAAGGCCAGTCTGACAAGCATATATAATAGAGAGTACACAATCAGGATCCTAACAGGGGAGCAGCTATAGGAACAAGACCAAGCTGTACACAGTGCCGCTGATGATCTTTAGGCGCAAGCGCCTTAGTAAAGATATCAGCTGTGTTGGCACCTGAGGCCAAGTGAACTACGCGGGCCTGGCGGCGCTGCTGTAGCTCGCGCAGGAGGAAGTACCGCAGCTGGATATGCTTCGCTCTGCCCTCAAGCCGAGGCTCCTGACACAGGAGTATCATGGCCCTGTTGTCAGCGTACAGGACCGGGGCAGAGCTAGGCCGCTCACCTAAGTCTGTGAGCAAGAAGGTCAGCCAGCGGAGCTCCTGTGCCGCCATGGCACCAGCGTAGATCTCAGCCTCACAGCTAGACTGAGCCACAGACGACGAGCGAGTGGATCTCCAAGAGATAGCACCCGAACCAAGGCTGAAACAGTAGCCCTGCGACGACCTGAGCGTCTCAGCGTCGTCTGCCCAAGAAGCGTCTGTGTGCCCAGTAAGGACCACTGGCCTGCGTCCTCCTAGCACTAACCCCATGCCTGATGTACTAGCAAGATAACGCAAAACCCTCTTAGCGGCAGACCAGTGCTGAGGTCGGTGTCTGCCTGTAGCCACAAAGCGAGCCAGGATGCTGAGAGGGTATGCGAGATCTGGGCGAGTGCAAGTCATCAGGTACATGAGGCAACCCACCAGCTCTGCGTAGGGGCCACTGGGCTCTACTGGCTCCTCAGGAACGGGAGCAGAGAGCCCATGGTCTACGGGTAGAGGTGTGGGCTGTGCGGAGGAGAACTGAAGACCGAACCTCTGAAGGACCTGACGCACCAAGTGTGACTGGGTCAGAGTGATGGTGCGTGCTGCTCTGTCCCTAGAGATCTGCAGGCCAAGATAGCGACGCAGCTCTCCAAGGTCAGTGCAGGTGTGTCTCTTCAGCAGCTCAGCCTTCACAGAGGCCAGTGCGTCCCTGTCAGGAGTAGCGAAGACCAGGTCGTCTACGTAGACAAGGATGTAGAACGGAGTCTGGCCGGAACGCACAAACAGTGAAGGGTCAGCAGAGGACGGAAAGAACTGCAGGTCTGCTAACGTGGCACGTAGCGTGTCGTGCCACTCGCGGGGAGCCTGACGCAGGCCGTAGACCGGGCGCCTGAGAAGCCACTGGGTCCCAGGAGGGAAGGTACCAGTGAAGCCCTGTGGTCGGCGCAGGTAGACCTGCTCGTGTAGGCTGCCCTGAAGAAAGGCAGTAGAGAAGTCGAGAGAGTGAAGCTCGTAGTCACGCTGTGCTGCTACGTGTAGCAGCGCCCGAAGAGTGGTCATCTTCGGGGTCGGGGCGAAGGTCTGGAAGAAGTCAACCCCCTCGCGCTGACTGAAACCTCTGGCCACGTAGCGCGCCTTGAAGACAGGCGGCTCTCCAGGGGGGCGCTTCACCTTGAAGAGCCACCGACCATCGACTACGTTCACCCCAGGCGGGGGAACTGCGTCGACGTAAGTGCCGGTGGATCTCCAAGATGCCATCTCCTGCTCCATGGCAGCTATCCACTGAGAGGCCCAAGGTCCCGAGGTGGCCTCAGCGTAGGTGCGAGGGGTCGGGATGTCGAAGGCGTCTGGGTCACCCTCAGGGACTAACAGCATGGAGCAGAGATGGGGAGCAGCCTCGGAAAGGAAAGCCAGCTCGTACTGCCTGTCCTCTAGGACGTCACTGCCAAGGGCAGGAGCACCCCCGACGGACAGAGGACTGGCAGGGTCAGAGACCAGAGCGGTAGCGTAGTCAAGGCGGCGGGTAGAAGCGAAGTCAGCGACAGCAGCGACAAGCGCGTCAAGGCGCGAGACAGGAACAGCAGGGTCGGTAACAAGAGAGGCAAGGACCCGAGGGACAAGGGGACGAGCAGCACGGAGGTAGTCAGAGAACGGAGGAGGTGCAACAGCAAGGGACGAGGGAGGAGGGGACGGGAGGAGGGGAGGACGAGACGAGTGGGAACGGAGCAACATAGGGTGGGTGGGCAGGACAGGAGAGACGGGACGGGCACGGGAGGGACGGCGAGCCCAAACGTGAGACGGAGGGGTAGGGTCAGGGGACAGCGGAGGAGACACAGGAGGGGAACGAGGAGGAAGACGGGCCGGAGACGAGTCTGGCGGCGGGAACACAGGACCGTAGACAGGGAGGTCAGGAGGCGGTGGGGGAGACACCAGCGCGCGGTCCGGGGAGGGAAGGCCGAGCAGGCGGAGAGCGGAAACCGGCGGCGACGGCTGCTGTGGCGGCGACGACGGCTGGGCCGGAACTCTCGGACCAGCAGAGGCAGAACGACCGTCGGCAGAACACTCAACAGCAGCACCCCCAGAACCAACACCCCAAGAGCGAGAACCCCCTCCAACACCAGCGGCACCCCCAGAAGCCGCAGGACGAACACCCTCCTCCACACCAGCACCCCCAGGGGCCGAGAGCAGCGGCGGCAGTGGCGGCGACAGCGGCGACGGCTGCGGCGGCGACGGCGACGGCGGCGGCAGCGGGGTCGGCGACTGCGACAGTGGGGGCGGAGGCACCGGGGAAGGGGGACGCGGCAAGGACGGACCGGGGGTACCACCAGAGTCAGCAGACTCCTCAACGGGGACAACCGACGGGAGGGGAGTGACGTGGGAGACACCAGACGGGGCAGGACGAGGCGGGAGAGGGGCAGGGGCTACCGGGGGAGAGGGAGCAAGGAAAAGGGGGGGGGCAACTGGGAGACCTCGGTGAGGGAAGCGGCGGTAGAAGGAGACGGACTCGTCAAAGGTGACGTCACGAGAGTGGAGGAAGCGGTGAGACGGCGGGTGGTAGAAAAGCCAGTCAGACGAGTCCAGGGGGAAACCGAGGAAGACACAGGGGACAGTGCGGGCAGTGAGCTTGTCCGTGCCAGAGGCACGAACGTGAGCAAGGCAGCCCCAGACGTGGAACGCAGACGCGTCACCGGGGGACCCGGTCCAAAGGAGGGTCGGCGAAACCTGCGGCCGCTGGGAGCGTGGCCACAGGTTAAGCTGGTGAGCCGCGTAGCGAACAGCGAACGGCCACAGAAAATGGGGGGCATCGGCATGGATCATGGAGGTACGGGCGACCTCCATGACCAAGCCGATGCGGCGCTCAGCAACCCCATTCTGCTGTGGCGAGTCCGGCAAGGTGTACGACTGGGTGATGCCCTCCGCACGACAGAACTGTCCAAGCCGACCAGAGGCGAACTCGCCGCCACGGTCGGAGTGGAGACACAACACGGGGAGGCCGCGGTGGAGACGCGCAGCTACAACCCACGGGAGAAGAACGTCGGGCACGTCGGCCTTCCGCTCCAGGGGAAACACCGTGGTGTAGCGCGTGTAGTCGTCAACGAGCACAAGGAAGTAGCGCTCACCGCGCGGTCCGGGGACGGGGGCAGGGCCCCAAACGTCCAAGTGCAGGGTCTGAAGGGGGGCAGTAGCAGGACGCAGCGAGGAGGAGTGAGGAGCACGGCGGAGCCGACCCTCGACGCAAGGCGTGCACGGTGGCGCAGTCGAGGGAGGAAGGGCAGGGAGCGACGCGGGGAGACCTAAGACAAGACCGTGCTGGGACATGTGACGCAGACGCGGGAGAGCAGGGTGACCTAAGCGGTGGTGCCAGAGAAGGGACGGGTGAGTGAGGGACCGACACGAGCAAGCTGCAGCGACCTGGGAGGACGCACCAACCGGGGGGAAAGCGGTGTGTAGGGTAAACAGACCGGACACCGGGTCCCGGGGGAACGTCGCAAGGGGGGAACCTGAGACAGCCTCAGAACAGACAGCGAACCGCTCGTGCCCGGGGAACGTGGTGGTGACGCCGAGGTCCTGGAGACAGCCGACACCAACCAGGTTCCTGGAGAACGAGGGAACGTGGAGGCCAGTAAGGGAGCCCGAGGGAACTGCCGGACAGGGAAGGGACGTAGAACTGCGCGCGACGACCGGACCCGCAGAGGGGTCAGCGAGAGAGACAACAGCAGGTGCAGCAAGCGGCGTGAGCGTGGAACGGTCGCGGAAGAAGCAGGCAGAAGCACCAGAGTCGAGAGTGAAGGACAGCGACGCAGTGGCGGAGGCCGCGGACGGAGCCGGTGCAGCGACTAGACTAGGCAACCTAGGCAGTCCTACGCCTGTCGCAGCAGGGGAAGCTAAGCTACACAAGGGTGAAACACCTAAACTAGAGTACACATGGTAGTAAGATCCATCAACACTAGAAGCGTCAGCATACAAAGCATGCAAAGCAGCACCTATCTGATCCATGTCTAACTCAAAGATCGGCACGCCCTGGCGGAGCAGGCTGTGCCAGTCAGGGAGGTCCGGGGCCGGGCCAAAGCGACGACGAAAAAGATCGTCGAGGCGGCGGAAACAGTGGGCGGTCGGGTGCGGGCGGCGGCACAGAGTGCCGCGGAGAGGCCCGGTCTGAAGCTGGTACTGGCAGGTCACAGCACTGGAGCCGCTGGTAGACGCCAAGCTGCGCGGGCCGCCACCACGGCCACCGCCTCCGGAGGTGCCGGGCCAACCAGGCGGGAGACGAGCCCACGGCTGCGGCGGGTGCTGCTGGGACGGCGGCTGCGGCTGGGGCTGGTCCTGCTGCTGCTGGGACTGCTGCTCC